TTTTTAATTCCCTCCTCAGCCAAAGACTTCATCAGCTGCCTAATGGAGAAGGATCCAGAGAAGAGATTTACTTGCGATCAGGCCCTTCAGCACCCCTGGTGAGAAACTGACCGTCGCCACACTGCGTCCCATCCAGACAATCACAGGGAACCACACATCTCGGTGCGATTACACAGCAGCGTTACGCAGATTGCCGGGCTTACGCATTTATCACGGAGTGCTCGTCCTCCCACTGTCATCTGTCACCATGGCTTCGAGCCGCGAGTCCACCTCTGCTCGGCATCGCCGGCCCTCGGAGAGAAATCTGCTGAATAAATGGCTGCCAATTAGTGGCTGGTGTCGTGAAGGATCCTCGAAGAATGTGGACTCTAATGAACAATTGGGATGTCTTCCCAGGCCCGCATCAGAGCTTAACGAGAAAAATGGCGTGGGCTGCTGTCTCCAGCTGAGGTGGCCAATAAGTCCTTTAGCCAGCGATGCATATTTTCTGGGTTTTGGGCAGGTGGTCCCTCTGATATAAATATGTGGCTTGTGGCACCGGTAACGGGTGTCGTAACGGAGAGAAATGACTTTCATTGACGATATTTCGTGCTGAGATATTGTGATGAATGAGGCAGAACGTGATACGGTGTGCGAGCACCTGCTGAAACATCGCCCCATCAATCATGACGTTTTTGCTGAATGGAAAAAAATCACGGCAGCAAATTGGAAAACAGCATGAGGATTTTACACATACAAATATAAGTCCTCTGGGTAATGCTGTTTTGGTTTGTGTGTATTGTCTTTTATATTTGATCTGTTTTTTTGTTTTGTTTTCAGGATTGCTGGAGACACTGCCCTGTGTAAGAACATACATGAGTCAGTGAGTCGACAGATGAGGAAAAACTTTGCCAAAAGCAAATGGAGGGTGAGACTTTGTTTTTCTCAGTTGTTCAATATCACAAAAGAAAAAAACACGATATTCTAATATTTTCTCTTTTTAGGGGGAAAAAAAAAAGTCATGGAGTCGTTTGTCTTTCTACAGAAATCTGTCTTGGTTACTCTTGTCTGATTACAGAAATCTGTCTTGGTTACTCTTGTCTGATTACAGAAATCTGTCTTGGTTACTCTTGTCTGATTACGACATCTCTTCACAGCAAGCCTTTAACGCCACCGCTGTGATCCGCCACATGAGACGCCTGCAGCTGGGCACCAGCTTTGGCAGCAGCATCTCCAGCTCCAGCTCCGTGTCCAGCTCTCAGAGCCGAGGTCCAGCCAAGAGCCAGTCTGTGGACTGTGCCCCGCTCTCCCTGGAGGACTGTGAGTGACATTTCGCACATGACCACATCTCAGTTTTAGCGCCACGCTCAGCGCAGCCTTTTCACTCTCCTGCCCACTTCATTAAGCTAAATGACAACTGTTTAACAAGCTCTCGTCAGTCTAAATGGAGTTTAACATGTGAAATGTGGTCCTAATTAAATTTTTTTGTTGAATTTAGTTTGATGTCAGTGCTTAAGGCACTGTGCAAAAGTCTTGAGCCACCACCCCTCATTTCTTTCTATTTTCCTAACAAGGAGTGATTTTGAAAGTGGTCTTGAGCATTAGCTCTCCAGGCTTTCTGAAAGCCTTTCAGAGTTTTTATTTGGACATTTGGACTCTTTACTCAGTCTGAAAGGCATGTTCTTAAGAAACTGAAAAAAAAAATCCACCAAAGACTGGACACAGGAACTTCGGTTGATCAGCCCAGTGCTCGCTGAAGCATCAGAAATGGTCTCGGTAGAAGAGTGACTGTTAAGAAACCATATCTAAGGGAGGGAAATGGACAGAAAAGTCTGATGTATTCCACATTATACAAGTACTGGACTGAAAATCAGTGGCAACAGGTCAGATTAATCCAAATTTAACATTTTTGGTTCAAATGGTCATCAGTAATTAGAGGTACAACAGTATGATTCCTCCAAATTCTTCAACTTCACCTCAAATCACCAGCTAGTTATTTGAAACTTAGACACAACAGGACAATGAGCCTAAACACGCATCAAAACTAGTGTAGTAATCCATAAAGACAGCTAACGTTAAACTTCTAGAATGGCTTTCCTGAATCCTCGACCTCAATCATATTGGAAATTTGTGGACTAAGGAAACCAACCCATTTAAATGATCTCCACCAATTGTGCAAAGAAGAGTGGTTCAGCATCCAGCCAGCTTGTACCACAAGCTTGCTGATGGCTACCAAAAGTAGAAAAATATAGAGAAATGCAAAATGTCTTAAGACTTTTGCACGTTATTATAAAAATTATCCACTTTTACAAAAACACATTCTTGACAAAGGGGAAAAAAAAAATCAATACGGCTTCTCTAATGTGAGGATTTAATTTTTTTAATTAAAAGCTAAGAAAAATAACCAGCAGGAACGCTGTCAGTTGAATCACTCTGCTGTAATGCACAACATAAAAGTGTTGGCAATGTTTTTACCATTTATGTGATCCAGGATCAAATAAAGACTTAAGTAGCCATAAAAAGGCAGAAGCTGAATAAACTGATGGGTTCTTATTGGCGTACAGAGAGGCTCACAAACACTGTTTCTCTGAAGCATCTGTAGATCTGTTTTTCAAGGGCGGTTTCCACAAAAATCAGCTGCACTGTGGGTTATGATTAACATGTATAGATGACTAAATAATCCAGTATTTACAATATTTTAATATTTATTCGTTTAATGTACAACTACAGGGTTCAATTGTTACAGGAGATCTAGCAAGCAGTTGTGGTCATGCTCATTATTATTTGTTGGCAACGTTCTTTATCTTAGAGTTAATGGCATGTGATTCATTGCTGAAGGAAATCTTTTTCTCCCACAGGTCACCCTATAGATCCTCTGCCATGTGTTGCTAAAGCGTACCATCAGGACTCAGATGCCCCCTCTCCCACTCGAGAGGAGCCACCAGCGGCGGCCGAGCCGCCCAGGCCACGACCCTCCACTGTTACCGTCATCCACACGGGGACTAAATGACGCCAGGTTCCGCGGGAGGTGAGCTGGGAGACCACGGAGCTTTGAGACTTGGGTGGGTAAAGAAGAAAAAAAAAACCCATCCCAGGCCTCGTGATTCAGTGTCGTTACCCAGTTTGCCCGTCCCGCCACCTCCCATCAGTTTCTGCCAAAACGAAAAACAAAGAAACGGGAGGAATTTAAGGAGCGCTGGCTCAGCTCCATTTGGATCAGCACAGCTTCCCCCTCTGCTTCCCTTCACATTGTCATTTAGACCTGGAAGTACAGAGGTGGGGTGAAGGGAGCCTCTCGACCGAAGGTGTTACTGTGTGGAGGCCGTGCTCAGCCTGGATCAGGGCTGCCTGGCAGATAAAAGTCTGATCTTGGAAGTGCCACACTAAAGGAAACTCTTTATTGAAGCTGCTGTCTTTTCTGTTGTTTTGGGACGGGACCTTCCACTGTATGCCTTGTGTCGATGTCCTGCCTGGAGCTGCTGAGTGGAGTTGTGTTATGCAAGTGAAATATAAGCTTCAAGCTGTGGTTACTAATTGTGACATCATCTGCACTCAGAACTTTCTCGTTGTTTTTTTTCTGGCTCACGGCATCGTAAACTCCTGACGGTAGTGATGTTGTTCCTTTTTAGCTTTTCAGTGTGTGGACGTGAAGCAGGACGGTGTGTTATCAATCATGGCGGCGATCGCTGAGAGGACTAGTGCGTTGCACTAATGTATTGGAATATTTATTTTCTTATAATACGTTATGAATTTTTGTAAGAATATCAGTCGCAGAATCATGTAAATGTGTTATTAAATCAAACTGAAGTTGCCGAATTGTACAATACAGTATCTACTAGTTGTTAGTTTGTAATCGCTGTTTTATTGATGACTTGATTGACGTGACTGTGAAGTCCTCTTTGACCACACGAGGGCGACCACGCGTTGTTGCTCTGTGACCAGTTCTCAGGGATCTGCAGGGACGTGAAGGTGAAGCTGACTAAACTCCAAGTGATCAAGCTCTGCTGTTTCGATGAACATGGTGAGGTTATTCCTTTAAAATACTGCATATTGTTCTGATGTGCCAGAGATGTTTCCTTTCTTTTAAAGCAGTCTTGCCAAATAGTTTCTTTTTCTCCCTTTAAAAACCTGGAATCATATTTGGATGTAAAGAAAGTGTTGACCAGTGACGTGTGAATTTATGTCTGTAGTTTTAAAAAAAAAAGAAAGAAAAAAATTACAAATGAATGCGAATGTATTCAGGAGTCGAGACCAATCCAATCAGTGGTGTCCAGTTGAGTAGTTGAAATATCGTGCTCTGCTTCCGCTCGTGAAGTGGCTGGTCTGAAAACGGCTCACTCACTCTGTGTTTAATCACTGTGCTTTCATACCAGCCTGTTGAATTTAGCAGAAAGACTCTTTCTCCTTCACTCCCTTACCGCTCGCTCTCTGCAGACTTTCACACAGAGCAGTGAAGGCATCCGTCTTTGTATTTTTCTCTGTGGTAACCACTGGATTTTTACCAGCTCAATATGAAAGGAGAAAAGAAAGAAACCCTTCACGACGGCATCTCCAGTTTTGAGGGTTTTGAAATCTTGAATTATCCCAAAAAAAGAGAAGAAAATGTGGTGAATATCAAAATGGACTTTGAGCTTTTACTTACTGTAAATACAAATCTCAACAAGCTTTGGGTTGTGTTTATTTTGGTCTTCCCTATATTTCCCACCACTTCTCCTGGATCGGCAAAAGAAAGCAAATTATAAAGCACTGGAAGTCCCTCAGTATGCATGTATTACATATTATTACTGAAATGTGCTTTGGAGTTGTAGAGATTTGTGCATTAAAAAGAAGCTTGTTTGCATGTGTGGTGGTTGTCTTTTTTCTTTAAGTTACACTTTGTACCCATTGCCTGTACAGTTTATATGGCATACTGCAAATAACCCCCCCCCCAACTGCATTATCTATAATCCAGGAGTCCGGGGCATCCTGAAAAGTTGAACAGTTTGAATAAAACACTTCATATTTCTTCACAGTACAGCACATTTATTTTATTTATGTAGAACAGGGGTGTCAAACATAAGGCACAGGGGCCAGAATAGGGCTGTAGGAGTGTGGCCCACGGGACAGGTTTGGGAAATGCGAAGTAAAGCATAAACATTTGGACTTTTAACTGGATTTTATTTATTTCTTACAATTTTAGCCCAATGACAGATTTCTTTAGTTTACTAAAAGAACATGTCTTTATCATGTAGAAAAACTAAGATGCACTGTTGAGATCACACGCCTTTCTTTCCTGTGTTAAGAAATCTTGAGGATTAAATGGTAGTTAAACTTTTTTACAGTGACAGAAAAGGGAGTTTAGTTTGTGCAGCCTACTCAGGGTGAAAGTAGGCTGTATGTGGCCCAAGATGAGTTGGACATCTCTGATCTAGGTGATCTCAGCTGTAAATTGGGGGTAAATAAAATGAGGATAAATAATTTTTTTTTAATGAAATTGGGGTAAATAAGTTTCCAAAAGCTCTTCATTTTGATTGATGTTAACTTGTTATGCTGGTTTTCATTGTCCACTTTGTCAGACCGTTTTTAAACACTTCTCTAACATTTTCTACACCACATGATTAATCTATGAATCATTAATCTAGTTAAAAATCGAAAAAATACATTGCATAGTCATTGCCTTTACTATGTTAGCGGTCACATTTTGTGTGGAAAAGCATCGCTATGTAGCAGTCGCACGTCTCCTCTTATCACTCTTAGGTGGAGTGACGGTTGTACTCGTAGGCAGGATGCATCCCGTCATAGTGGAACTCCCTCCACTGCTCGGTGCTCTCTCTGCTCCTCTCGTCTTGCTCTGAAAGTAGAGGAGGAGAATTTCAGTGAACGAACTCTTCTTTTTCACCTGCGTCCGATGAAAATGCTCCACGTACCGTCATGCTCCTCTTCAGCATAGCTCTCAAACTCGTTCCGCTTCTCCTCGTGAAACTCTCTCTTCCGCTCATCTGCAGCCAAAATCTGTCTCTGCTCAGCTGCAAGCACAGCAAGTATGAAATGGTCAGGTTTTCAAGGCGTAAGGAGCATTTTAGAAAGATAAACGCCAAAATCTTGTTTAAGGTGATGTAAAAGGAAATGATTAATTGGTAGGAAAATTACTGAAGCACTCATTTACTTGAGTCCAGTTTTCAGTGTGACTATCTGGACTGTTTCCTTTGAAATACGAGCTGCATTTAATGCGTGACTTCAAAGTACAAAAATGTCTGAAGGACAAGTATTTATTCTTGAGAAGAGTCAATAATCCCGGTTGATGCATGATGTCGTTTGTCGAGGTTTGAGCTGGTTTTATTTAGGTTAGGTACTTTAGTCCAGTTGTGTCACACCAGTCCTCTCGTTGGATAAAGAAATTAATCTGCAGGTTAGTGAGATGATTATTGTGATATTAAAGAACAAAAACAAAAGTCGGTTTCACTAATACTCAAACTTCAGTGACCTGAAGCAACATTGTAAATAAGAGCCGGCCCAAACTGGGTCATAAAAGGATGGAGGCAGTCAACAGCCACACTCATGTAGGCTGTTTTCATGTTGTTTGATGAACATCACAGCAGAAATCAAAACTGAACTTTTCTTTTCAATTTTCTTTTGTCCAATTTTGATGAGTATGTGTAAATTGTAGACTCAGTTTGGTCTTGTGCTGCTGTAGCTTACCTGCTTCAAGTTACAGTGTAGTGTGTGTTCAGAGATGTTCTTCTGCATACCTTTGTTGTAACAAGTGGTGATTTGAGTCACTAATGCCTTCCTATCAGCTGGAAAGATGGAGCTGCTAGGAAGTAGAAGAGTAGAGGCATGAAGTTGTACACTGCGTACAAGTGCAGAAAAATACAGCAGCTACAAAAGAGAACCAGTTTAAATTTAATGCTCACATACTTTTACACGCATTCACACAAGCTGTTAAACATCACAAAACTGCTCCCTCAAACAAATCCACAGAACTGAATCACTGCGTCCAGGGACACTTTGAAAACATGGACGAGCTATAGATGCCTGAAGCACTGAAGAGGAGACAGAAGACTTCTGTATTGTATTTCAGGCCCCCAACTGACTTCTAAAAGTCTCACGCTGACTCGCTATTCACACATTACAATGTTCCAAAAAAGAAAGATGAGGAAGAAGAAGAGGAAGAAAGGGTTTGCATTGCACTGCTAAGTTTTTTTAAAAAAAAGCACAAAGAGGGAATTTCATAATAATAATAAGACTTGGAATGTAACTGCTGTGTTTGATTTCTGTAACAAAGACTGTGAAATGCGATCGTCTGCTCTCACACTGGCATCACTTGAGGAATGGGCTGTTCCTTCATCCAGGGGATGACGATTTGTGGCAGCGATTCAGTTTTACATTTTAACCCACTTGGGCATATAAATCATCATTTTTAACCTTTATTTAACCAGCAAATCTTTTCAACCAAGCCAAAATTACATAAGCTATCAGTTTAACGTGAGCAAACCATCACCCAAGACTTTATGTCCACAAAGATCTAGGTACTGTGCTGAAGAGATATCAACTGAAGGAAAACTGTGGCCTTACTGTACTTTCACGTAATACCACTTAGAACCACAAGATGGTGCAGGTGTGCCATTGACTGATTCCTCAAACATTTTTGCCCCCGAGGAGGTTTTCGTTGGATGCTCCAGCTACCTGTCACTTTACTGCTGGAACACCTGAATTCCCCCATGATGGTAAATAAAGGATATTAGAGGACATTGGGCAGATTTACTTAAGTGAGGCAAATTATTGTGATGTCACAACTGCAGGATGATCTCCTAACAATGCGTGTTAAACTTTCATGCAAGCATTTCTCTCTGTAAACAGCAGTCCCAGTTACTATCTTACTGTGCCATGTGTGTGAAGCGCACACAGCTTCTTAGTGTTGGTAGCACATTACAACATTCAGGCAATAATCTAATACACCAACACTTTCATTCTTTACAGATTCAGCAGAGGGAAATTGTTCGCTGTGTGCGCAGTGCTATGAAAAAGAACCTAATTTCTGCTCAGTTTCAGTAAAATCCCATGTGACTGAGGCACAATATGTCTTGATGCATGCTCAATCATCCAGGTAAGTAAATCCCCAAAAGTTGATTCTGTTCATCTGGACGTAGCGTTTTACGTGGGAAAAACGTTTTGTCACTCATCCAAGTGATTCAGTCTCAGCTGACAGCAGGTTTCCTCAATCTTATAAACAGTACATTTGCATAAGACGCATTTGCATGAGGCACAATATGTGGCGTTCGCCTCTAAACACTCAGCGTGACGACTGCGTGAAGAGTTTTAGGACCGAGACAAAATTTTGGCACCGCGATAAGAGCTTTGAGCCATCCACGCAAAGTGCCGATTACACACTCATTCTGATAACATCTCGCCCTCCTAAAAATGAACTCTCCTAGTAGCAGCTATCACAACCACAACAGGCATAAGACAGGATTTTTTTCAGCGTGTAATTTGCAAGAAATTGCGTGCCACAGACACGTTTGCGTGACACATTTAAATATTCTCCTCCTGAAAGTGATGAGGAGAATATTCTCTCCTCCTCTTACAAATACATATTCCATAAGGCAGACCACAAAAACACTCCTGTTTTTCACAGGCTGTTCTCGTTTATACGACGCCCATAAAACAACAGGGTTTGAACACACTGTGGCAAAATATGATGTGCGTTTTGTAGTTCATCTTCTGTACGTTGTAGCTTTAACACAATGTCACATTGTTAGGAGAGACGAGTGTGAGAGTGTTCCAATTCTCACGGTTTCTCTTTTCCTAAGTCCTTAGCAGTTCTCTTACCCACTTTCCCTTGATCTCGATGATGTTTATAGTCAAGTCAAGGAAAAGAGGTTAGGAATAGGAGATAGGAGTTACCTTCAGAAAGCACCCTAGGTGTAGCTAAAACTAATCAGAAAATAAATGAGAATAATAAAAAAAATATATCAGTGCATATCAGAAGAAAAAAAAAAACACCCCTGTTGTGGGTAAAATGCTGCCCCCTACTGGTAACTGTTTTAGTGAAATTCTGCCAAGTACTGAATGTTACTTTCAACTGCTCCCTTATTTACAAGGGTTGCCACAGCAGATAGCTCCACATGTTTGATTTGGTGGATTTTTTACACTGGATGGCCTTCCATCCAGTGTGATTGTGCATGCCCTAAAGAGATATGTGTCTCCTTTTGGGACTAAACAAGGATCTTCCACTTGTTAGACAAATGCGTAACCACAAAAGAACCGCCTGAAATTCTGACAAGTATAATTACCTAATAAGTACCTTTAACCTATTGTATTTTTAATGGAAGGATAAACAGGAGAAATCAAGCACAAGAAAGAGAAAATGCAAAGTCCATACAGAAAAGGTCAAACGCCTGTGTTTGAACCTAGGACCTGTGAAGTGTGAGGCAAACACTGTGTATGAATTGTATAAGTCGAAGACAATAGATGGATAGTTAGAAGAATTAAAACTTTCACTGACGTCTCCTAATAGAATACAAAGAGATCCTCCTTGGATCCTTGATCAGCAGGTAGACAATGAAGAAAACACTCCTGTAGGGCAAGCAATGTGGAATTTATACCACGACTGTGTCTGTTCACATATTGTATGTATTTTCCTGCAGACAGCGTAAATGGACTGGTTCTTTTATAGTGCTTTTCTGCCCTGCTTGAGCACTCAAAGCAAGGCTTCAGAGAGGAGGAGGGTTTTCACCCAACGCAGACATACTCCTGTGCAGTCCTGCAGATTCACAACTGCATGTTGCTGGACGTGGATGATACTGTGTATTGGTCGAAAGCTGATTGGTTGATAAGTGAGCTGTAATAAGACTTTATGTCCAAAAATATCTAGGTATTGTGTTAAAGAAGTATCAGCTGAAGTAGAACTATGGCTTGACCTGCATGTAATACCACTTTGAACCACAAGGCGTGACAGCAGACTTAGCTGTAACGTCTATTGTCAGACCGGTTACACCGCATACTTTGTACGCCGTTTCCGACAACAAACAAATGACCACACCCTAACCACAATTTCAGCGAAGACGAACCACTCACACTGGAAAAGTTGAACAGCCTTTGACATTTCATCAGAATTCCCAGCTTAAGTTGGCATGCACACGTGCGGCTGCTTGGAATTCAAGTTGTAAATTACCAAGCTGAAAAAGATTTAGAGATTAACTTACAGAGCAGTATCTGTCACCAGCATGTGAAAGTTTATTCAGCACAGTTAGTACTGAGGTCATCTGACTTTAGTTTAATATTTTATCTCTTTCAGAATGGTAAATGGCCTGTATTTTTTACTTTTTTACTAGTCCCTAAGGACCCCAAAGAGCTTTACACATCCAGTCATCCACCCATTCACACACTGGTGATGGCAAGCTACGTTGTAGCCACAGCCACCCTGGGGCGCACTGACAGAGGCGAGGCTGCCGGACACCTCTGACCACCACCAGTAGGCAACGGGTGAAGTGTCTTGCCCAAGGACACAACGACCGAAACTGTCCAAGCCGGGGCTCAAACCGGCAACCTTCCGATTACAAGACGAACTGCCAACTCTTGAGCCACGATCGCCCCATCGAAATTGACAAGCAGAGCGATCATCATTTTATCCACCCTGCACATCCACCCTGACCGACTCCCACAGAAACCAAACAGCATCATTTGTTGGACTACGATGTCCATCTTTGGATATCAAAACTCTGACTAGAAACTATATGTCATCATATCTACCAGCTGAAACAGCTGCCTCTATCAAATACTTCAAAATTTCATCCAACTGCAGGACAGGTAAATGCCTTAATGCAGCACGAGAGGCTCTTCAAAGTGAGCAGCTTGTTTTTCTCACTTGGTACTTGCTTTTTTTCCCCTCTGACCCCTTTCTGCCTGTGTGTTGGCACATTCCACATTCAACTCACAGCCACTCACCCACTCACTCATCCATCTCTGTCTTTTCAGTCTGTTCTCTGCTTTGTGCTCATTTTATTCCTCCTGTTTTTTCTGGGGGGTTTTTGCACAAAGTGTCTCGCTGTCATCACACGTACGACACGTTATGCAACTGCAGTTTAGAACAGCAGCATTGTTGTGCGCGCTCACCTTCCTGCTGGTAAAACTGTGCATAACAGCCGGCGGTAAATCGCTCAAGAATGCCACACATTGTTCAGTAATGCGAATACGTTGACAGGAGCAAACTGGTGTGGGTTCCATGCCGCCCCGTGTGTCCTGCTGCAGCGCCAGGACAGGAAACTGAGGTCTGGGATGGTCTCAGTTCATGCCAGGTCCACAATAAGGTTCACAGCTGCTGGCTGCCATGATTATAAAATCCTTCAGGCTGCCATAAACATGTTCCCTCACAGCAGAGTCAGGAAACAAAAGGGCTGCATCTCTATGAGTCATCTCATCATTAATACAGACACCAGAAGTGCATTTTTAATAAAACAAGTAATACAATAAAACTATTTCAATACATTCATCACTGGGGTTCAGCAATACTCTGACACTTGTTCCCAGCACAGTATCAAACATCTTTATGTTCAGGATAAGGATGACAAACGTGTAAAACGTTATTATCTTTGCCTCGGCACCACTACATTTTTCACTTGTGCACATGATGAAAGTTGAGGCTTGTGGATCTCAGAGATATTTTATCAGCCTGACATATCAGGCTTTCTTTCAGTGCCAAAAAAATAAATTAAAAAAAATCTTCAAGTAACAGTGAAGATTTCCTCCTGCTCTTTTTAGTCTTCTGCGTGTTCCTGTACTCCACCCATGCTGTCTTTTTTTACAATTAAACCATCATTTAAACAATCAGATATTCAAAGCTTTACAAAAAGCCCATTTCTAGGCTCATTTTTCTGTTTATAACCAACTACAGTCACACCTGGTGTGATGGCCTCAGCCACACATTGGTAAAAAAACAGTCCACTCACCTCATTGGTTTGGTTTTGCAGTTAAAAATGTATTTCAGTAATGTAATTCATTCATTTCTTCACTTAAACCTAACAGTGATATTATGAAGTCCGCACATAGTAGCGCTGTGTGGTTTCTAAAATGTATTTTGTCAAATTAAATCTATATTATATCATGGTTCTCTTTCTTTTGTTCAACCTGGTTTGGCTGTTTCCTGCCTAAGCAAAAAGCATGACTTTGAAAGCACAACGCCAGCTCAGCAGAACCAACTATGTGCAAGGGGGTGTTTTAGGGTTAGTTAGGTTATTTTGTGCTTAGTTAGTGTTTATTTCAGTTTCCCTTATTGTATGTTAACGGTTTGGCCAAACCACTATCCAAGTTACCCTCTTGTGTCTTTGTGTTTAAGTTGTGTATACTTTTTTTGCCTAGTGAATTTTCTGTAAGTCATTTTTTGAGTAGAATTATATTTAGTTTAGCTCTTTTATTGGGGTAAAATAAAATAGAACCCGCCTTGAGGCTGTATTTCCTGCGTCCTCTATGCCTTCACTGCTTGGTCCCTCACATCTAGATTTAAACTTCTCTAAGGAGTTCCAACGTGATTTTAAATCATAACATAACACATAAACAGCTCTTCCGAGAGTCTTTAAGGACCTGTTGATGCCGGTAATTTGCCTGTCCACGTCCTCTTAGATCTGATTACAGCATATGATACTGTAGCTTATTTCTGTCACATCTTGAATTGTGTGTGGGTATTAAAGGTACAGCCCTAAAGCACATTTAGCAGAACATTAGCAGAAGTAATGTTTTTCTTGTTTTTACAGGTAAAAGCTAGCATTTTCTAGCATTTTATGCCAGAATCGACCACAAACAGACTTCACCGTACAAACACAGCCTGGCTGACCATGTCAAACTCCAAACGACTGCAAACTGACTCAAAGTGAACTCACCGTCCAGCTCATCCTGGGACTTCACACCACGTCTGCTGCGTCTTCTGAAGAAGTTTGAGGCATCGGCCTGCTTCATGAAGACCCTTTTCAGTGGACCTGCAGTGGAACCGGGAGGGAGTTTAGTTCACAGTGTAAAGTGATACACAGGGCGATACGCAGGGAAAAGAAACGCAGCTGATGCAGCCCCTGACCTTGAGGATCTTTAGTGCTGCCTGTGCTACCGGGCACAGCTGCAGAGCTGGCCTCTGGAGACCCTGTGTCGAAGCACAAAACATGAAAGGTCTAAATTCAAAACACAGAATCCAGCTTTTCTCATGCCTGCAACCAACTAATAAGACAATTTTTTTTTTGTAAAAAATCTCACTCCTGCATCATACTCACATGAAAGTGCAAAAAGCACAGTGAGGAGAGCCAAGAGGGTTGCATACGTCCAGGACATCTTTTAAACTCTGAAATACTGAGAGATGTGAGTGATGAAGAAGAGCAGGAGGGAGAGAGGGGAGTAAGACGTATGTGCGAGGTGGGATGAGGCGCCCGGGGCGATATCGACTGCTTCTCAGTGCAGGGAGGGAGTGATCGTGCAGATCTGAAACCAACAAACATGCCAGAGGGCTTCCAAGTCACAAGAAGGTGCCGAGGGTTTCATTTCAGCTCAGCAAACATGCTGCTTCTCTCTTTTTTTTCTATGAATTTTAGTTGAAATTAAAATGACCTGAAATGACACAATCTATGGAACTATTGCATCAGTGACACTTGCAACTGTTTCATTAATAAAGAAGAGAAAACATACTGTAGGTGTAACCAGAAAAATTATAGTCCGGGCTGCTTATGCTCTGGCTTCCTGGATAATATTTGTTCCAGAGACGATGGATGGGAGACAACAAAAATACTGATGTTTCTTTTTTTTAAAAAAGTGACAGAAAACAGTTAAGGCCAGGAGCCGGAGCAGGGACTCCTTGCCAAATGTCTCCTTTGAAACGGGCCCCCTCAACAAGGCCGCTCTCTCTGCTAGGCAAAGAGTTGTGCAGGAAAGTATGCGGCCCTCTGTTTGCTTGAATTTCTTCCAACCTGTACTCTGGCTGGGCCCCAGAAAAAAGTGAATGTTTAAATTGTTTTGAGGGAAAATCCAGGAGTCGGGGGACTGGTGCTCAGAGAGATACGAAGATTCTGGAGTGAGGGTTTTGAGAAGATATGTGGTGAGTGTGTTTTATTCAGGTAGGTGTGAAACAGAACAACATAGGGACTGACGAAAACTGCAACATTAAACAGCAAGAACAATGTCTGTGAGTGCATAAGGGGGAAAAAAAAACCAGTGTGCTGATAAAACATGCATTTGGATTATATATTTCTAGACTGTGACTTGAATAATTTCAAGTTTTCTGTGACCTGCTCAGGGGCTACAGCTGCAAACTATTAGTTTCTGGCATGTTTACATTATATTTTTATACTCATGTTTATTACCATGCACCGCCCCTGTTAAATAAATAAATATATTTTCAAAAAATTAAAAAAATACATGTGTCTGTGTTTCTTTCCACACCTTCCTTTACAATATCTGAGCAACTGTGAAAAGATATTACTTCATAGGGCAATTTTCATTCATTTCATTAAAGGTACTTTCTCTAATTACTCTCTGCAGACCGTAACTAAAGCTGTCACCATTTTACCAGTATGTGTGTTTAGATGTTTTCAGGTATGCTTCCTGCTCCTGGGCTGTTATTTTAAATACGAATATGGTCATAATGTTGTGCCTAGTTAAGAAAAATACAAAAATAAAAATCTCACTGCACCATCTTGTGGTGCGGGGTGGTATTGCATGAAAGTACAGCCTGGCTCCAGCTCTGCTTCAGTAGATGTCGCTTCATTACAACACACACATTTTGGACATCAAGTCCAGGTATGTAGTGCTATGTGTGATCACATGTTCACCCACTTCCATGCATGTAGTTGAGCCTTTGCAGCCATGCTGGCACTTCTTTTTTTCAACTGTTGATCTAGCCTGATGCAGAGCCTAGTTAAGAAATGAAGTGTTTCTGTGCAGTAAAAGACTAAAGACTTTTAATGTGAAATAGATACAAGCAGGGCCGAATATCCATAAAGAGCATAATGCAGTAAATTTAATAGTGTGGAAGCAGATCAAAAGACTAAAACATTAGGGGCGCAACAATATCGTTCGATACAGTGCTTTCGGTTCGGTATGCATATGTATCGAACAATACAAAATTTTTAATTTATTTGATCAACTTTCCTTCTGACGATGCTGTCTGTGTTGAGCGCTCAGTGGATCTGCGCTCGACAGTGCAGCCTAGGCGGAGTAGTCGAACGCAGATTCACTGAGCGCAGGGCAAGCTAGCGAGATAGAAGTTAAGCTCTCCTTGCCCCACCCTCATTCAGATCTGGCCTTTGGAACTATTTTGGTTTTCATGTGATGTATGACCCTGAAGGTAAGCACGTCATGGACAAAAGTAAAACAGTATGTCGGATGTGCCACGCAATGCTCAATTGCATTGGTGGGAACTACTGCGTTAGCACAGTTAGCTCGTTAACGTGTTGGCTGTCCAGCCCCACGCTTGGGGCAATCCCCGGTAGCTCGTTAACAGAGATTTGCCGTGTTGTGGCGTTAACGTCATGTCAACAAGATTAACGCTGACAGCACTAGTGGGAACACAACGAATATGACTGCACATTTACTCCGTCATCATCCTAGTGCAAAGACAAGTGGAAGCAGACAAAGACAACAAGCACGAATGCTACAAACTTTACCCGAGTCATTTAGACAGCCGTTAGCACATGATTCTCCTTATGGGGACCTGATATGTTTAATATGCTGCTGAGAATATAGCCCAGAAGAAGCGTATAGTATGGAAAGAGCCATTTCTCTGTAATAAACTCTCTTTTCCAAAGATGAGTGATTCCTCCATCAGATAGATTTATTTATTTATTACTTTGTTGTTTCAGCAACATTACATTTAAAAACTGTACTTTTCAGTTTAAAATATATATTTATAATTTTAATAAATGACAAATTAAAAAAGCATGAACTATCGAAAAAATATCGAACCTTGACACCAAAGTATCAAACCGAACTGTGAATTTTGTGTATCGTTGCACCCCTATAAAACATATCTGACGATTTCTTATTTACTTGTTTTATATCAAACAGGAAGAAAGAAAAGCCTTAGCAGATGAGTGAGATACAGGTCAGTGACCACTGGATAAAATAAAGTGTCCATGTGAAAAAAGCAACACTATTCCTAATTATTCCTCTAAATTAAAAAAATGGTTGAAATAAAAGCATTTTATTAATGTTGACACCGGCAGCTATGTGCAGTTTGAAAGGTGGGGTGTTTTTTTTTTTTTTTCTTTTATTGAAGTTACTTAATGCAGGAGCTTCAGTCCTGAGTCAGTGAACACTTTGAATGGCAATTTAACAGCTTTTTTTCCCTGCGAATTATGATGACAATTGCAGCAAATAAAAGGAACTTCAGCGACATTATAAACTTTTAATAACTGGTTGAACCTGGTGGAGGATTACTTGCTGAGCTTATCATTTTGTCTGTTTTGTCTCTTAAATAACGCAAGAAACCTGTGGATCAAAAAGAGATGAGCCAGTTGATGGAGGAAACCAAATGGCTATTAGAAAAACCAGCAACAGCAGTTTTTGTTACTGGAATGACTGGGTTACTGAACTTTAGCTTCCCTTTATGCTCACTGTATTTGATTATTGCAGGCGTATGGAAGGTCTTAATCAAATAAAATATATTTGTCCTTCACATGCTAAACTCCTTTCACTCTTTGTTCCACATTTAATTTATAGGATCTGGTTTATTCCTGCAGCAGTACATCTATGATCGAGTTTTTCCATTATTATTAAATAAAGAAATTTGAAATAAGCATCTTTAATGGATTAGGTCAGGGATTTCAAACTCATTTTACAGTATGGGCCACATACAGCTCATTTTGATTTTAAGTATGCAGAACAAGCAAAAGTCCTTTTTTTGTCAGTGTAAAGATGTTTAACATATTTAATCCAACTGATTATAATAAAAAAGCAATTAAATTAGTAAATCTAGTTTCCCCCTTGTACAATACAGAAATGCTGCTGTAGTAAATGCAGTAAATATGTCAGGAAAAAATAAATAATAACAGATAAACTTCTGGTAGCTCACTGCTCAGAAAATGTCCCTTCCTCCCCATGGACCTTTTATTAAAAAAAATAAAAATTCTACAGTAGATAGTGAACAAACAGGAACTTTTTGAACTTTAGTTGTTATTGCTTATCTATTACTTAATTACAATGATGTTTTATGAATGGCAGTGGCGAAGGTCTTTATCAGTAGGAATTACGCCCTTTTCCAAAGCTGTCCAGTGGACCTGATTGGGTTCTTTCTCGGGCCGATTCGTGGCTCCCGGGCCTTGTGTTTGACACCCCCTACTTTAGGTAGCCTGCTATACAAATATTCTCCAGTAGGGGCCGCTGTAGCTCTGCACTGGCCGCCTATCGGTCTCTCTTGTGCACAACCATCGAGTGTCGCTGTTTCCCCGCTGACACCTCGACGGCACGGCGGTGTGGTGGCAGGCAGGCAGCGTCAGCTGGCAGAGGACACACTCAGATCAACTGGTAATCGCCGTCGTCCCCCGCACTGCTTACGCTCTCCTCGACTGAAAACCCAACGACAGTACTTCCTATTTTCTACCGGGAGAGAAACTTTGAAGCCCGTAAACAAGCCATGCCGCTGGACGCGACAGCCCCGCGGATATAAGCGACACTGCGGAGCAGAAAGTATCTACGACCTCACAGAAACCACAAAGAAGAAGAAGCAGTCGGTGCTTTCTTTTTTCACACTCGGAGGGAAAGACGGCATCCGGCCTGAGAAGAAGCTCCGAGGTCGGGGACTCCGGTCGGACCAACGCGAATCGTTTCTGGTGAGAGTCCGCACATTTTCGCTGTGGGACTAGTTTCTGTGAACTAAACCACGCAGTTAGAGCAAGTTAGAGGCGCACACAGCCTGAACAACGTAGCAATGTTTACTTCACAGCCGCAGTTTGAATGCAGCGTTTGTTGTGTGTGAGCACTTCAGCCTGCCCCATTCACCGGCGAATGGCCACCTTTAACTAAGACAAACAGCGAGAGGAGCTCCGAGCTGGACGAATAACGACTAAACTACCTCTAGAGAGGGTTATAATTTATCCTCGCTGCCACAGAGAGCTGCTGGTTAAATATCAAGTGTCAGCTTTGTTGTCAAATACCACCGAGAGCAGTTGCTCGTCAGTGAACTGTGTGAGGCTGGGGTTGTAAAAAACAGGAGGATTGACTGGCTGCTGTGCATGTATCGTCTTGCACAGTCACTGCCCCACATTTCAGAGATGCCCAGTGTTTCTGCTCCACGCCCCCCACCCTCTCAAACTACCTGAAGCAGGGCGCAGACCGTACTAGTCTCTGAGCTCACTGACAGCCATTACTGACAGCTTTAAGCCGTTTCAGCTGTTGTTGTGTGAAGGCCAAGACGACAGCAGCAGCAGACAGGAGCCTGCACGGAAAATGGTTGGAGA